CAAGTCTGCGAAAAATTAAAAAAAAACTGACAAATGCTAAGTAATTTACATTGTTCCCGATGCCTACGGTGAAGTCCAGGTAGCTTGATTGTCCACATCTCCGGGGTATGCTTTTGAGTGTAAGAGCCTACTCATGAGAACATTTCCCTTGTAGCAAAGACTATCCAAGTAAAGGCAATAGCCAAATAATTAGCATGCGTTTTTCCGCTGCATGTAAATTAGACCTGTACACCTCTAACTTCATAGCTTTAAGAATAATTATTATGGATAGAATTAGAATAACGAGGATTAATGCCGAAACATAATTCAACGAAACCACTTTTAGGCTACTAGCTATTCCGCATCAAAATGAATGAAGATTAGAACAGTGGAATATCATCTGCCTACTCAAGGCGTGTTTAAACTGATGTGAGGACATGAATTGTTTACTTTACAATGGCGGAGAGCACAAACAAGCGGGAAAGAGAGGGGATGATCTGCAGACGCATAAAATTGACCCCTAAACTGCAAGCGTGAAATACTTAGCTCTCCATATTCCCGCAAATCACTTCCCCTCTTGACATCTAAATAATCATTTGTCTACCTATTCAATACTCAAGAACACTACCTCTCCGGTCATCTGGCTCTCTACATCTCTACATCCTAATATTTTAACCCCAAATTCTCTTTTTTTATCTGCCTCTCAAACTGCTTATTTCTCTGCATATCAGCTTCACTTTCTCTCAAAATTTTAAGCTGATCAACTCCTAAGTACTCTATATCTCTACCCAGTTGCCTCACCTTCTCGCTAGTTCACTAGCCCTACAACGCGACAGGAGGTCAAGTCTATACGAGCTCGGAGTTTCCACCAACCTCTGCGGACAATAGCACGGTACATAATGTCGTTCCTAGCCCAATATGCACATTTCAACCTGCATGAATTACCTAGACCCCTCATCCTTTTGGAACAGTCTTCGGTACTTTCCCAATGAGTGGGATCTAAATTTGCCCCTTCTAATTGTCTTCATACTTCCCTGGTATGCAAACTTCCTCTTGTTATAATGAACCTTGAGTGGTTAAGCACGGAGTTGTGCGTTGCAATCCAGGTGGTTTGCATTGAAATGGCTTTCATCACTCAAAATACAACCCTCTCTCAGTGCTAATGGGATGCGCAATATACTTT